TCTCCTGAATCTGAAAATTCAGGATAACATCTCCTTAATGTGAAAATTGAGAATAACGTCTCCTAAATCTGAATCATTGACATTCTGATGGAGATGGGGAGGGCTCTAAAAACAAAACCTACACTTCTTTTCCATCAGTTTTGAGATAACCTTTTGATTTCTCAGCTCTACAACCAGGAGACCCTYCTGGACTGGATCATTTTCCACGACGTGGCCGTCACCTCCAAGATCTACGTGCGCACCGTGTGCCCCGTCCGCTACGAGTGGGTGAAGGAGCTGCTGCCCAGGCTGCACCAGGTGGATGCCTATGAGCTGAGCAGCGTGGCCAGGGAGGAGGTGACAGAGGAGGAAATCACCAAGTGGCAGCAGAGGGAGGAGCTGAAAAGGCAGAGTGGTAAGCACCGTGCTCACTTGGAGTTTTCGTGGTTGTTTTGGACCCCTGTGTGTTTATTTTATTTATTCGAATTTATTTATGTATTTATGTATTGATGTATTTTATGTATTTTATTTAATTTATCTGAATTATTTATGTATTTATTTTTTTTATTCAAATTCTGCCTCAGAGGTGTTAATTTGTGTTTGATGTGTGTAGTTCTGGTTGTTTTCTTCTCCCTACAGCTCTGCAGTCCCTGGTTTTCTGTCCCAGCAATTTCTGTCCCTTGCCACACTTTCCCCTTTTTTTCCTACAGCAGAGCTAAAACAGAGTGGAATAAAAGCACTTTGAGTCTTGTGATRTTGATATTTCAGTTTGTGAAGGGTGTTTAGCCATTGATGCCCAAATAATGCTGCCCTGGGAGAAGTCCTGAGGGCTGTGGGGCAAAGAGAAGAAAAAAAAATAATCAAAAAGCCTCACCCAACAAAAAACCCAGAGAAAGAAGTCTCACATTCTGGTGAGTGCCTCATTCTGACAATGAATTTAATGCCATATGTTTAAAGAGTCAGTTCTAATTAGAACTGGTGCCTGCTAACTGCTCTGGCTGCTTGGCATTCTCGGAATTCTTCTGTCAGCAGGTTCCTAAAGCAGCCAAGTATTCAAAGGGCCTCTTCACTCCCGAGCTGGCCCTTCCAAAACATTGATTTATTGTACAGTAAACACAGGTTCTCTTCAATTTCCTTAACAAAGGAAAAAATGCAGRGTTTTGGCCTCAGACCAGCATTTCTTTCTGCTTYRCATTATTGTATAAACCCATCATTCYAAGCATGAATTTGGTTGSTTATGAATAATGCACAGGAGCYTCATCAATTTATCTGAAGTCCAAGGAAATGTTCCTCGTGTCCCCCTGGACATTATGACTCCACCAGGCAATTACCAATTAATTTGAATTTAATATTGACCTTACAGAGGTTGTATTTCTGGGACCTTCAAGGAAATAGGTGTCTGAACAGCTGACAAAGGCTTCATTGGTGCCCAGTGTCAGGAAAGCTGCAGCATGAGCTGAGTTATTATTATTTGACTCAAAGACATATTAATTACCAATATTCTAACAGTGGATGGTAATTAAAACCCCTTCCTCTTATCACAGACCCTGGTGCCCAGCCCCAGGACCAGGCTGCAGCAGCTGCTTCACTCACASWKTTT